AAACTGCTCTTTGACAGTCACCCTGGACCCAATTATGCATCCATCAAGTAATAGAAAATTCTTCCCAGCTGTTTAGTGATAAGATGTTTTTAGCCGCAGGGCAACAACTGATCGCTGTAATTAAGCCTCCGTTTGACTTCATTTGCTCTGACAGTATGGAGCATGACCGGCACGGTTCAGACAGACAATCAGGCTTCTCCCTAGTTAAAGCATGAGAAGAATACCGCTTTTAAGTGGATTCACAGCTCTCTCCTTTGCCATAAGGGTTTTTATGAAGTTGTTAGGCTCCATCACTCATCCTTTTCATATGCATTATCAATGAGCTCAACTCCTGAGGTGATGGAAACTGTCCTATGGATTTTTTAGTGACATTCTTGGCAAACCGTTTATGGCTGGAAGCAAAGTCAATTTTAATAACTGTCATTCACCTTGCTGTGTTTTCAAAGGTGCCCTATATCAATTGTGCTCCTGTTTAATATTGATTTTATATTGTTCCCTATTTTTGCTGCAGGGGAGTTTGGAGAAAAAAAACAAACTCTCATGTTACATATTAGTTCTTATTCAAATATTAGCAATATATTACAACACTATTTCTGTTTTTCTATTAATTACATACAAAGAAAGCTTAGCACAGGCCTGAGCAGCCTGGAGCACAGCCGGAGGTCCTTTGCAGAGCCCTGCTGGCTGTTGCATAAACTCGGCTGGCAACAAAAGGTGACCGAGCCTTTGTCAGAGCTCCCAAAGTTTGCAAATGAGCTGTCAGTGGAGTTCAGGCCAGACAGACCAGTCTCCTCTTTAAATTGCCTCTCAAGGCACACTTGTATTCTATAGACCTTTTTTAGAGGAAACACTGGAATATGGGAATTCGCATTTTTATTACATTAGGATAAAATACATTCATCTTTTCTCGCAACTTCCTCCCATAATGTGCTCATTTTGACAAAGAAAAGATAAAGTGATACCACAAATGCATCTTTCTTCGAACTGTGCTTAACTGAACACAAGTTGAACCATAAATTTAGTTAACGGCTCAGCTTTTGAAGTGATATTGACATTTTAAACTCAATTTCAAACCATACAAATAGGATATTGGATTAGCTCAGAATAATATTTCAAGTCACAATTCCAATCCAGTGTGGCATGGTGGGCAAACACAGCTGAGAAAATGAGTGCTGAAATTTTCAGCCTTCCCTTTGGCAATGCGAACGCGATGTTAATATGAATAGTTACACACTCGCTTACCTAAATCAGCATTTTAATACCTGGTGTCAGGTACTAAATGTTGAATATGGTGTAAATCCTGCAAAACTTTCAATAAAAACTGTCACCGTCTTCATGGCACAGCAGCATATTGGGAAGAACATCACAAACAGGCAGCAGCACTGCAGCCTCTCCTCACCATTTTCTTTTTTAGATCAGCATGAATGAATAGAAAACCTCATAATTTTGGATGGTACAAGTTTATAACAGCTTAAATAACCAATATTAAGCAATTTAATTATTTTCTGTGAACATGATTAGTGCTGCTGTATAATTAATTTGGCAACTGAGAAATGGCAACCCAAATAATTAATCTGACTGTATAAAATGTGTTTGACTCCTAATTGTGCTTTGAATTCCTTCATATGGAAGACAGAACACTTGGTTATGTTATTTCAACAAGCAGCTCTTTCAATTAATGATGCAGAGAGTGAAAGAGAGTGAAAGACAGGGAGAGAAAGAGAGAGGCAGCCATGCTGTGATGACAGCCGCCGGGCCTGCTAGTTGACTTCTGCGATGCACATTCATTCAGCATCGCTGTGAACCTTTCTGCCAGGAGTGAGTCTTAATGCCCACATCATGACAGTATTCACTGAGCAGAATGGGCCGTCACTCACTCTCGCCTCTGACAGAGAGCCTGAGAACTCACTCTGCTATAAAAGGCTAATCTAAACCCCCGCTACCTGGCCCCCATTCCAGCGGCACTGTCACACACTATACCAGCCTCATGGTGAATGGGAGTCATGTTGGGCAGTTCACTTTACACAGTATAGAAAATCATTAGACACATTGACGAGGACAAACAGCTCCTGTTTTGTCATCATATTTCACTGATCCGTTTCACATTTTGGGATGAAAGATGAAAGGGGAGAAGGGGGGATGAAAAGGACAATGAGGGGAAAGCTCTGAATGACCGCATTGATCACATCCAGAAGCTATCGACAGGTCCCTTCCTCTGATGATGAAGTAGCCACCTAGCGAGTGCTGGGTCTCCGGCGCAGGGAGAGAGAAAGCAGAGAGGACATATTCAGCATGCAGGAGCCTGCTTCCTCTATCCCCTGACATGCAGGGCAGGCTGGAAAAATGTTCTGCTTATGACAGTGGATGGCTAAGGTAATGGCCGGTGACTGCTACCATTGCTCATAGTAATGATGGTTTCACCCAGGAATACTGTGTACCTTTGTAACCCCCTCCCCTCCTCTGTAGTTTCCCCCCATGACTCTCTCTTTCTTCCTCTCGCTCTTTCAATCTTTGGTTTTCTTTGTCTCTCTCTTAACCCCCCCCCCCGTCATTTATCTCCTGTCCTGTCCCCACCTCCTGTCTGCAC